TTTGAACATGTGGCCATTTTTTTTTTGTGTAAAAGCGCGGCCCCAATCGCGCAAAATGTGACGTGTAAGTGTTGTCATTTGACTACACACCCATTTATTCTTACGTTAACCTATCTCATCTCTCGTGCATTCTGAGGGAGCACCCCAACCCGACTAATATTTAATCAATGCTATCTGTATCGGATGTCCGGTGGTTGAGTCCATGACAGCAACAGGCCATTTGGTACCTTTTCATGACAAAAAAAAAAGTATTTGGAATGTATTAAATTGCTTTGATTCTTCTTCCTAACTAGATTCATGAACTTGTTGTACATGCAATATTTGCCGAATGTGAACTCAGCCAGCCGAATTTTATCTATATAGAATTGGCAATCCCCACATATATATGCATTTTGAGGGAGCGCCCCAACCCCAGTAATATTTAATGAATGGTAGCTGTATCGGATGCCCGGTGGTTGACTTCATGACAGCAACAGGCCATTTGGTACCTTTTCATGATTAAAAAAGTAATTGGAATTGTGTTAAATTGCATTGATTCTTCTTGCTAACTAGATTCACGAAGTTGTAGTACATGCATTATTTGTAGAATGTGAACTCAACCAGCCTAATTTTGGAGTATCTATATAGGATTGGCAATCCCCTCATATATATGCTTTTGTTATCCAATATTTGAAGGACCACGTGTTCCCTTTGACCCTTAACTTCGATGGAAGAAGCAGAATGAACACAAATATAACATAGTGTTCTCATGCTTGCATTAGCACTTCGTCACTTTTACTTTTGCCCCTTAAAATGTTGCAATATTTATTACTTTCAAATTAACAATTTTTGCATTTAGATTGAAGAAAATGGAAGAAAAGGAGAACGAGAAGAGGAATGTGCTAAATTGCATTGAGTCCTCTTTCTAGTAAGATTCACAATGACGAGCAATTTGTAGAATGTATGAACCCAACAAGTTGAATTTTTTTTTTTCCTAATTGGTACTCACACACCCCTCCAAAAAATTGTTTGCACCTAGCAAAAATCGATTATGAGACCTTATACGTCACGAGGCACCAGGGCCTAAGTCTTTTACCAACTAAGCCAACCCTTGCTGTTCAACAAGTTGATTTTTATTCACAAATAATTTGTCATCCCCACAAATGGTTTTGGTTTCCAATTTATGGGGGTAACATTAAAATCTTTGCAGAACGGACTTATATTGTAGAAGTATCTCACAGAGAGTAAAAAAAGAAGTCAAATCACTTGTTAGTCGTTGTTAATAAAGACCGTGGAAGAAACAGAATGAACACAAACTTAACTTCACATTATTTGCACAAACTATGATTAATTTTGAACTCGAATATGCATTCTCATGCTTGCATGGTAGCTAGTAAAAATACATCTCACTTTCACTCAGTGGGAGACCCAAAGATTTGTATGAGAGGAGGCAGCTTTGAACAATAATAATGTATAATGGGTATCATTAGAAATTAGGTGGGGGCATATCTAAAATTTTTAGACATTGTTTTGAAGTTTGGAGTCCAAATTGGAGGTTCTGTTTGGTGCTTGGGAGCAAGTTGGCGTCCAAAGATCACTGTGAATTGATTTGTCCTTTTGGAGTTATTTAGAAAGAGGAATTTGGAGTCCAAGTTTTGAAGTTTTGATTTGTGCTCCTGTGCAAGCTGGTGTACAAGAATCATTGTGATCACAACTAAGACATTGTTGTGTCATTTTGAGTTATATTGTCCTTAAGTTAAGAACCTTTGTTTGTATGGTTGTATTTTGTTTCCCCCGTAATGTGGCCCCATGTACAATCTTCCTAATCTACAGGCAAGCTTACCATTAACCAAAAAAATATATATATATCTAAAATTTTTATAAAAAAGTTTAGACATTTATAAAATTTTCACAAAATATATGGGTAATTTTGTAAATACAAAAAATTAAGTGGGGGCGGCTGCCCCCACCGGGCCTTCATGGTCCATGCTTGCTTTCACTTTTGTCGCTAAAAATGTTGTAATATTACTTTCAAATTAACAATGATTACATTTAGGTTGAAGAAGTTGGAGGAAAAGATGAGAGGAGAAGAGGATAGAGTTTATCTCATGTTAGCTTTAAAATGAACGAACTATAATATAGCAACTGACTTTTAAAGTGTCGCAAATTAAGGTTGTTCTAATAATACATTTGTTTCAAGTGTTTTTCTTTTGCTATTGTACTATAGCGAAGCAAAAGTACAAAATATGTTTGGTAAAAGTTACTTTCATTTGAATAGTATTCGAAGCAATTCCGAAATTAAGGTCAAAACCATAAGCATAAAAATGATATTTTTGTTTGTTTTGGCACTGTACCAATGCATTGTTAAATAATAATAATAATAATAATAAATAACTAAACTGTCATTTTTAATTAGCCATTCAAATTTTCAAACTTGTAACACTTTTTGTCAAATATGCTTTCATGTTATTTACAAAAATCTTGCAGCAAATTTACGTTACCAAACAAGCTTGAAAATAGTGTTGAACACACTCTAAAGTAAAAATATTGTTTCTACTTCAGATCAAAACAAAAGTACAAGAAAAAAACGGTTACCATGAAAGATGGAATTCAATTAATGCATATACCACTTGGTGTGACAACACTTCAGTCTACTGGATAAACACTTTTACCATCCCACCACAAATAACAATAGGGAGTACTATAGATATAGTAAAATGAAGAGGTAAAATCATAAAACCTTCTTATACTATAATTAATATATATATATATATATATATGATCCCTAGTTAAATCAAATAATCTTCATAATTAATAAAATTTATCATGTCATGTCATATCCATGTTAACTGGGTTGTGAAATGACAAAATTAACGTTACTATTCAAAGTTAAATTAAAATACCGATAATTATTATTTTAAAATTAAAATTTTTACTATCGTGGAATTCATTTCAGTTTAAATTTAATGTGCTTATAGAGTGTTTGCTTTCAATTAGAATCTATGAAGCACGGACACTCCTCCTAGGGGCCCCGTACCCATGTCGGATACTTTTCAGACACCGATACCCGTGTCCGAGGCTCGGACACGTGTCCGACACTTCTGTAAAGTGTCCAAATATTATTTTTTATTGAACACGCGTGTCCGAGGATCGGACACACGGTCCGACACTTTTGTGAGATAAAATTTATTTTCTCTCACTCCTCTCAGTCTCTCCTCTTCTTCGATTATCTCTTTTCATGAACAAGATATATATATATATTTAAGTCACATGAACAAAACTTTGTGAAAGACTGAAAGTATATATGTTTATTCATGTACATATTTAGTTCATTATAGTTATGTCTCTTCTGCACATCTTCGTTTGGAATTTGGATCAACTTTATTTTTCATTAATTTTCTGTTTTGTCTTGTCCATATTTTTCTTATAACAAAAATGAAATTATTGAAATTGATTCTGTTCTTTGTTATTGTTTTATTTATCTGTACAAGATTCTAGTAATTATATTTTGAATATATAATTTTATATATATAATTTTATAGGTATATCCCCGCCGTATCCGTGTCTTATTTTTTTAAAATTTACCGTGTTGCCGTATTCGTGTCGTATCGTACCCGTATTCCGTATCTGTGTCCGTGCTTCATAGATTAGAATAGACCTCTTAGAGAATGATTGTCTTCTCTTTTCAGCCAAAACAAGAATCATGTACATGGACAAGTTTACAATAATCTGATAGAGATAGTCAACCAAGTCAACTCATATATAAATGAGGTTTGATCATATATACGTATATTCTTGGATTTTTCTAAGAAATTCAATTAATTAATTAGGTCATGCACATGTGAATCCAAATTTTGACCATGAATATGTCAAGGGACAGTTTACATGAGGACACGCAAGACGTGTGTTGCACCATTCGTAAAAGTAAGCCCAACCAGCGAGCCCAAAGGTTCTGACGGCAAAGGCCGACGAGCATTTCAAAACTACAACCCAGCGCCAGGCCCAGCCCCAAACTAATCTCCTTAAATTCAAAACAAAGAAAATGTATGTACAATGTGTTAGTAAATTAACCATCACAACTTGCTACCTCAACAAGCTAACTAATTACTTGCTCAAAAGTTTAGAAGTGAACAGAAACTTGTTATTACCACCTAGGGTTGTAACTCAATGATTCCCAACCCATAAGATTAAAGAATATGCATAGTAGCGACACAGATGTTTCAGAAGACAAATCTGATGTGACCTGTCTTTTTACTTTATCCATATTTATACAATAAATCCAATTTAGAAATTATCGGGGAAAAAAAAAATAAAAGATGACTTATAGAAATTATTGAAAAACTGTGATGGTGAAGGAAGCTAGAGTAATTTATCAGGGATTTCTGGATTGTTGTGAAGAAGGAGCTCTTTAAATTCAGAAAAAGAATATGAGAATTAAAACTCTATTCAATATTATTCATGATGGTGTTATATTCAATTTATAGAATAATACCTAGCTAAAATAGGTAATTAATTATACAATAATCAGAAAACTAATTACCTACCAATTAGCCCTAAATCAAAGAGTATATAATTCAATCTTACAGCTGTACAATCTGTATAATCCCGGATTATAAGATCTAAAATCTCAACACTCCCCCTCAAGTTGGTGCATAGATGTCACACAAGCCCAACTTGTCTAAAAATTTTGAAAACACTTGATTTGGGACTGTTTTAGTGAGAATGTCAGCTAGTTGATCCTCAGATCGAATTTTAGGCAACTCTACAATTTTTCCATCCAACTTCTCCTTAATGAAGAATCTGTCTATTTCGACATGCTTCGTACGATCATGTTGAACTACATTATGGGCAATATCACATGCTGCTTTATTGTCACAATATAGTCGAATCGGTTGCCCAGGTAGATAACCCAAATCCCACAAGAGAAGTTTTAACCACAAAGTTTCACAAAGTCCAAGTGTCATACCTCTAAATTCAGCTTCTGTACTCGAGCGAGCAACAACATTTTGTTTCTTGCTTCTTCATGTAACAAGATTACCTCCTACAAAAGTGAAGTAACCAGAAGTAGATTGCATATCATCTATAGCTCCAGCCCAGTCAGCATCAGTATATGCATCTATGTTTTGGTAACCAGCATTTTTAGTAAACAAAATTCCTTTTCCAGGACCAGATTTCAGATACCTCAAAATGCGCATAACTGCATTCATATGTTTCTTTCCACAATCATGTATAAACTGGGTGACAATACTCAATGCGTAAGCCAGATCCAGTCTCGTGTGTGCTAAGTACATCAATCTCCCTACAAGTCTTTGGTATCTTCCTTTATTAGCAGGTACTTGGTTGGACTCAACACATAACTTCAGTCCTTCTTCTACTGATGTCTCAGCTGGTTAACATGCTATCATGTCAGTCTCTTGTAATAGATCTAAGGCATATTTTCTTTGAGATAGAAAGATTGCTTTATTAGATCGAGATACTTCGATCCCAAGAAAATATCTCAAGGGACCTAGATCTTTCATTTCGAATTCTCCGAACAAGTATTTCTTGAGAGCCTTCATTTCTTTATGATCATTCCCTATAACTACTATGTCATCCACATATACAATGAGTGCAGTGATCTTACTATATTGTTTCTTCAGGAAGAATGTGTGGTCTGAATTGCTCTGACGGTAGCCAAATGCTAGCATCGACTTTGTGAATCTTCCAAACCATGCTCTCGGAGATTGTTTCAATCCATATAATGATTTCTTTAACCTGCAGACGTTCTGACTATACTTTTCGGGTATCATGCATCCTGGTAGAAGATCCATGCAAACTTCTTCAGATAATTCACCATGCAGAAAGGAATTCTTCACATCGAATTGTTACAATAGTCAATCCAAGTTTGTAGCTTAAGATAACAAGATCCGAACTCTGTTGATTTTGGCTACAGGTGCAAACGTCTCTGTGTAATCGATTCCATAGGTTTGGGTGTAACCTTTTGCCACCAATCTTGCTTTAAAGCGTTCAATTGTGCCATCGGCCTTATACTTCACAGTGTAAATCCATCAGCATCCTACTAGTTTCTTTCCTGGTGGAGGATCAATGAGTTCCCAAGTTTTATTTTTCTGTAAGGATTTCATCTCCTCTTACATAGCTGCTTTCCACCTAGGGTAAGCTAATAAAACAAAATTTTCAAGAAGAACAATTCGTCTTTGTTAAGAGACAAACAAAAAAGTTTAAAAAAAAAAACTACTGAGATGAGAGCCGAGATGGCAGATTCGGCAAAGGAAAACAATGGCCGTGGAGAGCAGCCAGCGATCTAATGACGAAGACGGTGGCTGGTTCGGTTCGGCAGCAGAGAGGCGGCTGGTTCAGCTGAGATGGATCCGGCGGCGATGATCCGGTGATGCGACACGAAGATCCGGCAAAGCGACGTGACGCAATAATGGAGAAAAACTGGCGACGCTATGGACAACGGTTTGGCAGTCAACGGCTGCAAATCTGGCGACGACGATACAGATCAAGCGACAGAGGATAGCGAAGCAGATCCGACGACGATGATGGACAATGATTGTGATGGCAGCGGCTTATGATGAAGAATGGTGAATTTCGAGGTTGGTAATTTATGTGTATGTGTATGGGTCTGTGTATGGGTGTGTGAATTTCAAAGAGATTCAAAGTTTATGTGTATATGTATGGGTCTGTATATGTATGGGTCTATGTATGGGTGTGTGAATTTCAAAGAGATTCAAAGTTACGGTTCAATGATGGCTCTGATACAATCTTAAAATTCAAAGAAAGAATATGAGAATTAAAACTCTATTCAATATTATTCACGATGGTGTTACATTCAATTTATAGAATAATACTTAGCTAAAATAGGTAATTAATTATACAATAATCGGGAAATTAATTACCTACTAATTAGACCTAAATCAAGGAGTATATAATTCAATCCTACAGCTGTACAATCTGTATAATCCCGGATTACAAGATCTAAAATCTCAACAGGAGTTATGGTATGATGTTAGCATAAGATCAATGTAGGTCGAGCTTATAGATAAATCTAATTAATTATATATTAGAGAATACACTTCTACATTAAATCAAGACCAAAACTTGTTTCACCAATTGATTCATATATATATGATACACTTATTACATAGCAACAAGAATGTAAGTACCATACTACAGCTATTGTAGGCTGGCCTTAAAATACATACACAGTTAATGCTAATATCAAACTTGTTGACCTTAAGGATTTCATCCAATGACAATCTAGGTGTTTTGATGATAACAAACCATTAATGGTGTTTAAGGACTAATGTTTACATTGAGTGTTATATAGATTATTCACATTCAAAGAATGACCTCAATGAAGCACCAAAGATCATTCAAAGTATTCCATTACTCAAGATCACATAAAGGAAAGAAATGGATACAATGAAGACACGAAGTTACAAGGAACAAAATGCAATGTCCAAAGGTAGCTTGGACTTCAATGAGCAAGAAAGCAACTCAAAGGAAGAAAGAAAGCAATACTACCTCAAGCCTAAACGATCATGGACAATGCATGAAGAAAAGGGGTAGATAGGATGGTGAGTGTTTTGGATTCAATGTCAAAGTATTTATGAATCCATTTGAAGCTCATCTCTATAGGATCATGCATATTATCATCATTCACATATTCTTATATCCTTAGTACTAGACTTTGCACTTCATTGATAGATATTGTCATATGAAGTCTTTGCTAAGAAAGGGTTAGTTCAAGCTTGTATAAGCTTTGAAAGAACTCACAACTTAAGCTAGAAATGCTAGGACCATGCACATTAATCATAAGATTTACTTTGGTGTCTAGAAAGAAAAGGAAAAGGCATTGAACTTAATATTTCATCTTTAAAGCCTTTGTTGTCATAATTTGGTAAATGACTCTAGGACACAATGCACTTGAAGTTTATCATCTCCATATGTCCCTAGACTCTTAGAAATAGGTCTTGAACAAAATTGAATCATTCATCAAAGTCCTAGGTGCTAGAAAGATGGATATCTCAAAAGAAGCTATTTTCAGCCTAGAAAATTTCAGACCAGCTTGCACTAAAACTGCTATAACTATTTGTGTAGTTGGAATTTTTACACAAGGCCAGTGGCATTGGAAAGCTGACTTCGAGTCCTTGAGTTTAGACTCAAATTTCACCTAAATTGGATTAAAAATGACTGAGATATGAGCTTCACAAAATACATGATTCTGCTCTGCGAAAATTCTGACCAGGTTGCACTTAAATAGCCATAACTTCTTCGGTGTTTGGAATTTTTGAGCAAGGCCAGTGGATTTAGAAAGCTGACTTCAAGGCAATAAATTTAGACTTAAATTTCACCTCATTTGGAGTTTCATGGACTGAGTTATGTCCATTTGAAGTCATGCCATTTTCTGTCAAAATCCAAAACAAGGTGTTGCCTCCATGAAAACTAAAGCAAGCACATTTTATCAATTGGAGCCGCCTCCCATTTTTATTGGAGCCGCCTCCCAATTATTGGAGCCGCCTCCCATTTATTGGAGCCGCCTCTCATTTTTATAGGAGCCGCCTCTTTGCACTCCAGTAGCCAAAACTTATGTCGTAGAATGCATTTCATGAATTGGAGCCGCCTCCCAGTTATTGGAGCCGCCTCCCATTTATTGGAGCCTCCTCCAATTTTTTGTAGAGCCGGCTCTTCTAAGATATTTGAATCTACAACGGCACTTTTCTGCATTTAAGTCTTCCAACTACTTCTAACAGACATATTAAGCTACGGCTGTCTATATAAGGAAGGCTCATTTTGCTGAAGCACACAGACTACCATTTTTGAGAGACATAATATTACATTTCGAGAGATCTTTTGTTCTCTCATCTTCTCTTCTCTCTCATTTCACTCTTATTCTATTTTGAGAGATTTAATTAAGCATTAAAAGGGCTTTTGCTCTTGCTTTAATCTTCATAGAGTCTTTTGCTCTATTATTCACTTGAGAGATTATAAAAGCTTACATTCTTCACTTATATTATCTTCTCTCATTCATATCATTTATAGAGTTTGAGCTTCACTTATATTCATATATACTCTAGTTGAGAGCTAAAGTTTGTACATCAATCTTTGAGAGATATTTCTTGTGAGCTTGCACTTGTATATCTATCTTGAGAGAGATTCAATCTTGTATTTCAATCACAATCTTTTCTACAAACTTGTAAGGGTTGGTGTGACCCAAAAGAAGCCTAGGAGAAGGGTGTTCTCCTAGCAAGGAAAAGAAGCAAGGTCTTGCTTCATGTAAAGGTTTGCTCTCCACCCGCAAGGAGAAGCTATATTGGATTGGGAAGTCTCAAGAGGGATCTTGAGCCGAGGAGTAGGAGTTTCCGAACCTCGCAAAAATCGCCGTGTTGTTGTTTGCAATTTCTCTTCCCTTATCTCTCTTATAATTATGCTTTAATTGCTTATTCCATATCTTGATCTCATATCTTGATTATTGCATAATTACTTAAATTGTTGAATAGAAATTGTATTTCTATATATTGCGAAAATTATCCATTGTTTGGCATTGACTCTATTCACCCCCCCTCTAGTGTCAATTCTTGGGCAACAATTGGTATCAGAGCCTAACTCTAATTAAAGGACTTAATCGTCTTATAGTACGATCATGGCCAACAATAGTAGTATCACCCACTTAGAAGGACAACCCAATGATAAACCTCCTTGTTTTGATGAAAATGATTATATCTATTGGAAAATTAGAATGAGAGCATTTCTAAAAAGTATTGATATTGATTTATGGAAAGTTATAGAATATGGTAGTCATATCCCAACTAAAATTATTGAAGGGATCAAAATTCCTAAATTGAAAGAGGAATGGGATGAAAATGACCATCGATTAGTTAAATGTAATGATTTAGCAATATGTTATCTTTATTGTGCATTAAGCAAAAATGAATTCAATAAAGTTATCTTTTGTAAAACGGCTAAAGAAATTTGGGACTTGCTTGAATTAGCCTATGTTGGATCAAGTCATGATAATGAATCAAATATAAATGAACCCTCTTGCATAAATGAGATGCATTGTAGTTTTACTATCTTTACTAATCATTTGAATGTTATTGGTAGAACTAACCCATCCACCTATAGTGAAGAAAGTGATGAAATGCAAAAGAAGAGTATAGCTCTCCAAGCTTCTACAAAAGAAGCAAGTAACATCAAAGAGTTGGTTAATCATTGTCTCATGGCCAATGAAGATGAGGTAAATTCTAATCATGAATCCTTTGATTTAGAAACTTCCTATAATGAATTAGTTGATGAGCACAATGAATTACTTGATACGTTTAAAGAGTTACAAGGTGTGCTAGAAAATATGCTTGTAAAATGTGCTTCCTTTAAAAAGGAAAACCATGATATCATTCAAAGACATGAAAAAGTTCAAATAGAAAATGACTTTTTGAAAAAAGAAAATCATCATCTTGTGCAAAAATTAGAAAAGATTCAAATTGAAAATGAGTCATTGAAAAATGAAATGAAATGTGTATTTTCTAAAGAATCTTCATCAATTGATCTTATTCCCGAAAATGAGTCTTTAAAGAAAATAATTCATGATCAAAATGACATGTTAGCAAAGCTTACCAAAGAAAAAGAGAATTTGAGTACTATACTTAGAAATCAAAGAGATGTCTTTTTCAAAAATGAGATACAA